TGCATGGATTTTAGATTAATGGGAGGCCTACGCGTAGGTTCGCACGACCATTCAAGGCCTAAAGTTTCCTTGCTACACATCATTCTAAATCAGGGTAAATGCCTACGTTGAACCTTCCAGTGACGGATCACTGCTGGGAATAATTCATCTCCAATTTTTTATGCTTTCTTGGTATTTATTTATCCTCAGTCATTGGGAGATGGGAATGAAATAAAAGACAGAAACAATGGTATGGGCATTACACTCAGAGCATTTGTCGAGTTGTAAGTCTTTGGGTCCTGCAGGGTGTTGTATTCGAGGTTTGAGACCCAGAGTTTAAAAAGGGATTTAATTATCTCAGAGAGGCCTGAGAGCTGGGCTTCTTCGCTGGGTGAATGAGCAAGTATGTTCCCACTTCAAGCATTGCCTAATTTCAGATTTGACCTCATGAGACCCTGAGCATAATCCAGTGGACATGGGATCTACTGGATTATTCTCAGGGGCTGTGCACCATGCATGGGGAGAGGAAGCTAATATTTTATTATCAGGAAATATTTAAAGTTGTCAGGAAAAGTAATTTGAATTAAAGGAAAACTTTGAATAAAGAACTTGTTTGTTCATACTGGCCAGATTCAGCCACATAACCATATAAAGCACATTTTTTTACTCATTGCTGTGCTTTCAACAACTGGGTGGGTTACAGTTATTAGTTTTTCTACAAATAAGAGGAGCATCTTGGTTTCCTGTTTGAATATTTCAATATATTAGAAAAGTTTTCATGGATTTTAAGCAAGTGTCAGTGGAATTCTCACAGATTTTTGGCATTCCATTTAAACAACTCAACTCAAAACTCTTTCCTTGTCATCAGTGCTTGAAATTCCTAACTCAGAAGAAACGACTCCAAGTCCAATTAACTGGACACTGAGTCTCATGTGATTGAAGTTGAAGGGCTGCATTGAGGGAGTCTTATTTTGTCTCTGAGTGCATTTCTCAATTTATTTTAGGGTTTCCCATTTCACAGGAAGATTTTCATTTGCAAGTGTGTTACATATGGAGTCATTTCAATGCCCTGTGCGAATGCCTCTAGCCAGCAGGATTCGGCATCCCCAGTGAATCCTTGGAAATGTGTTGGACCTTTTTGCTGTGATTCCTGAAGCTTGGTGTGACCCTCGTCCCGGACCCTGCCTTCTTCGGTTGATCTTTGACCTCGAGAATCCTGTGCTTACTGCCCTTGCAACCTGCTTTCAGGACCATCCACCACATGTACTTACCTTTTTCAGAGCAGGTAATCAGCAAAGAAACCAGCATCAGATCGATTGCAAATCTGCTGCAGTCTCAATAAGGTAGGGTCACTACACATAAGAAAACTTGATTCCTCTGCCCTCAGATTGTTGTTCATGAGTTGTACCTTTTAACCATTGCCAAGAAGTTGGGTGAGAGGTCCTGCCTGGCCCACATCTGGAAGGGCTGAATCTTCTGGTCTGTTCCACCAGGAATGATGAAACATGCACTATTCTCTTTGATGAGATCCTTGAGGAGTCAGTATGTATTTGTTTGGAAGCCTAGCTTTAAGTGTAACAATGTGTATTTTCTTACTTTCTTACTAAAGATTTTGATATGTGTATATAGAAATCATAATGTTTTGGTCAGATGAAGTTATAACAGATGACATGAGGACCACACAACAACTTACAAATGGTCATGTTCCTGGTAGGTGATGTGGGTCTTTGGGTGGATAAGAGACTGCATAGAGGCAGTGCGATCACGTTCGGCATGTTTCTCCGTCGTGCCGGTATTACTCCGGGGTATGACTGGAGGTCACTTTTCACCCTCACAAATTTGTGATTATGATCAAAAGGCAAGGTTGAAGGAATGTCTGCATGATGCCAACAAATGGTTGAAGATGCTTAACTGAGGAACTAGGATTGCAACAAAAATTTTCTTCTTCAAGGAAGGGAAAATGGCTCTAACCAAGCTATTGGTTCACATGCCTGTAAATCATGAAAACAAAAATGGAAAACACTTGCGATGCACATTAGTACTAATATTGAAACATTGTTCTGGGCAAGCTCAAGGACAAATAGCTTCCTCACAGAGGCCCAGGGGATCCAAGGTCATTCTTCATATTCCTTTGCTAGGTATGCAACATGAAGCTATCATCCTAGAGAGCATATTCTTTCCTGTCTAAAGAGCTCTATCCCTTTATGCCTCTATCTAGTCCCTCTGTACCATTTGGATTGTCATTTACTACAATCAGCATAAATATATCCAATTAAGTTTTGTATACCAGTCAACATATGGCATCACATTCAACCTGCTTATTCTTTGTTATCTCCTGCTTTGTTCTGACTATCATCTGCATTGCATTTAATCAAATTGAGTCATGATATTGATTTACCAGTCCAGAGTGGGCATTGTCCATATATTTTAGGTTTATATGATGAACATGCCTTCCCCGTGCCATCAAACCCCCCCCTCCCCCGGCTGATGTGGAGAGGTTTCTGCAGTGAAGATCCATACCTGTAGTCTCTGTGAGAGTAATTATTCTTGTCTCAATATTTTTTAACTAAATGAAGTGAAGAATGTGTGTTTGCTCTTTCTTTGCTCTTTTTTTTTAAAATTTCTTCTGGGCTCAAATGAATATGGAGAAGTAAAGAAAGACAAATGAGGGCCTCAGTTAATGTGACAGTAATGACATTATTAGGTTTGGATTATTCAAACTAATACCAAAACTGCTCTTAGCTATTCCAGTTGGCTGCCAAAAGTACAGATTTGATCTGATGGAGCACAGAAAAACTGTGGAGCTGGACCAGTCTTCCTCGTCTCTGTTGCCTCTGCATCTGCATCGGACATTTGAACACTCTTTCTGAGGTATTTTGAATCTCTCTCCGTATGAGCTATATGCAATCTTGTGACTTGCTTTGATGTGCTTCAATGTTCATGTAGGACTGCTGGACATGCTCTCATGGGCTGTCTGCATTTTAAAATGATAATATGTTTCATTTATGTATTAATTTGATTCAATAATGAATGAGGAATTAAGACTCTACAATTGAAAATACCAACCACGAGCAATCTAATGAATAGTTTGAAATAATGCATTCTCTCCTGAATTGATTCTTGCCCTTAGCTATGAGTAGTTCTTGGATCTTCTGGCCAAATTCCTGCATGGAATGCAGAATGTGAAATTGCATATGTATATGCAAGGAATATAGGCAATGAAGTATTAGGTATTATGGTGTCCTGGTATCTCACAACTAGGCCTATCCATTGGCAACCACAATGCACCCAACAAGGAGCCTTAGGGGAATCTATGATTCTATCTTTATTTTTTCTAAAGATGGTGACTTCTCATCTCTTCAAGAAATATTCTAAGGTCATTATTATCATCATAGCCTGGAAACCATGTATTGCCTGGGAGTCTTCTTTGGTCAAATGAGAGCACCATGGAAGCTTGACACGAGTCCCACTCTCATTTAGACCTCAGCCTAGGCCAAGCTTGAATCATGCCTACAAGCAATGTCATCTAGCTGGGGCATGGCGCTATACATGGAGTTATGGCTTTCAGTCTGAGGTCTGTCTAAGAGATTTTCATCATAATGTTGTTGCTATTCAGGGAATGAAGGGAGTATAGTATATTTTCAGTAAATTATGACAATAAGTTTGCTTGAAAGTGAGAAGCTTTATCCCTTCCAGTGCTGAATAGAATTGAAAAAGTCAAGTCTTGTTAACTGTGTCCTAATCACAGAGAAAAAGAGCCTTCAATGGAAATGCCCTTAAAAGGAAGTATTCTTACTTGCCAAATCTTGGTTCAATTTGGAGAAATGTAAGCTGGGCGTAAAATTACAGGATAAGTATTGTGTCTTTTATTATCTGAACCAAGAAGCTGGAGGGGCTGGTTGAGGCAGTGAAGGAAGCTGAGGGAGAGCGGTCCGTCCCTTGACCTCTGAGCGAAAGGAGGATCTTGGGAGCCATTAGTGTTGGATCTCAGACTGTCCAGGCCATGCATGTTTTGTAATTGTTACCTTTTGTAATTGTTTCTTCCTTTGTGATTACTTCTTCCATCTTCCTGTCCCTGCATCTCATGCAATTGTGATGTTCACAATGTGCATGGCTTTGAGACATCTGTTTGTATGAGAGTTCCATCAGCATTTATAGGACCATTATGAGTGCCAGTATAGTGTGCACTCTACCATAAGGTGTGATCTACCTCCCTGGCAAGCAAGCAAATCCTTGCTTGCCTGAGAGGTAGATGAAAATGAGATGGTAAGGGGGATTAACTTTAGAATCTGTTACCATGCCTTTGGGTGCAAATAAGTGTTAATATCTTACATTTATCTATCTGGATATATTAGTAATATATTCATCTTTCTCTTGGCATGATTCATATGCCCTTCTGGTCTGGACTTTGTCATACCAGTGAGACGCATCATTGCACTGGCACAGTTGGTGGACCCCCATTAATTTTTCTCCCAGGTTCAGTGTCAAAGGCCAAAGAATGAGAAAGTCTCTTACTTTGGGGGATGATGAGTCAGTTGGGTTGGAAAAGCGTTGCTGCCTTTGGCCGCAATCATTTTCTAACCCAACTGACCCATCATTCTCCAAAATAGATTCTCTTTCTCACTCTTATGGCCTAACACAGAAGGAATGTGACTCCCTTGGTCTGTGTTTATAGTTAGTTTTCATGCTGTGTGCTTGTGTTTAATGAAAACATTAAAAGCATATAGGGAAGGTAGAGCACACACTATACTGAGAATCTCAAGGTAGGGCACACACTATACAGACACCAAAACTATGTTTTAAAAAAATTAAAACTTTTAATTTTAGACATGTATTCAATTTGAATAGGAAACATGTGCATTCATGATTATATTTCAAAGGCCTTCAGAAATAGACCTGCTTAGAGGCATGGAAACATTTGGAATTTTTCTGCTTCCTTCTGCAGTCTTTTTTTTAAATCAATGATCCCTGATGACAAGTTCAATTTGGGACATTTTCTCCCCAATGCTCATTAGGAATCAATGGATGAGTCCCATGGCTCAGGAAATGCAGTCCTTGCTCAGCTTCAGCAGATGGAGTTTGGACCAGCAGGAGAGCTTGTATGAACCCTCTCTCACTTTCATCATTGTCAATCATGCCATTCATATTCAGATCATCTTATTCACCTCTCTCGCATCAGCTTCTTCCCTTTTTTGCCTAATTTTACCTGTTATATGTTGAGGTGCTGCCTTTTTTTTCAATTGCAAGAACCCAGCAAGTATTGGTAAGTGCATTAGATAACATTACAGATGGAAACTATGATGCTGATATGTATTTTTACCTTCCAACCCTCCCTCCCTTCTTCCCCTCCAAGGAATGCAGACTCCATTAGGCTCATTAACAGATGTGGCTGCCATGTTTTTCATATTTCCTCAGTCTTAAATGTTACTTTTATGTTGAGTCCCTTCCAAATTTTTTACTCTTTCAAAACAATGCACAACCATGAAACTGTTCATAATTTCATGCACCTCTCTTGAAAGATGAGGGGTTAAGGCCAATCAGGTTGACACAAGTACAAGCAAGTTTAACTTTTGGAATGTCTTCCCATGAAAAATAGAACTGAGAAAGAACCTGAGTCAAATTAATCAGGGTGATCAAGATGTCACTGTGCTGTTAAATACATTCATTTTGGGGCATTCTTTTAGTACTATTCTGCACATCACTTGTAATACATCATCAAAGACAGGAATTCAAACACAATACTTCAAATATTTGCACCATCCATGATGCACATCATATATTGTCTGTGCATCTCATCTACAATGAAGCTTCCTACATCATATAATGAACTCTGCTGTTCCATGACATCACATGCAGCTTCATGTTTGAGTTCCATGCTTTGTATATTTTCTATAACCCATGAAGGGATGTTTTGTAGATATGCTTAGTTATTTTCTTGTTTTCCATCAGCAGACTTTTATGATGTGACCTCTTTTTAGAAAGTATTCCTAATCTGTGTGAATGATCACTTGTGTTTCCATCCAGAGCCAGCAAGGATGGGGAGGAGAAATAGGAGTCACTGCTTTGCCTGTCCTTGAATCCCCTGGGTCTTGGAGAGGGGAGGCCCATGACACCCTGGCCATTGTGGGGCTGACCATCTCAGCCAGCAATTGTTTCATGCAGGTCTCCTCCATCGAGGGCCTGTTGGCTGTCCTCCACCTGTCCCACTCTGTGCTGCCTAGCTTGCTGCTGCTCAGCTCTGGTCCCTCATGGTCTGAGTTCCATGAATCACCACTGTATTTGTTCATCAGGTTCTATTTAATCTTTTGTGGTTATACTGATAATTTTTCATTATGGTTCATTTATTCTTTCTTCTCGGTATCAGGTCTTATTAGTCACTTTGAAACTTTTCAGGCAAGGGTTATGTGACATGTAGCTGTGAATTTCCAATCCTGTCATGGTTGGAATTTTCAAACCCTCTGATTTGTTTACTGGTGATGTTTTGACGTTAGACTTTTTGCCAGCATATAGTTTAGTTTTATGCAAGTCATTGCTGGTAAACGAGGTCAAGAAACATATTGCATTGAGGTGTTTAAAGAATTTTCAGTAATATTTGTAATATTGTGTAATTCCCTGCTGGTAAATAAGCATGGTCCTATTGCTTGTAAACCATTTCAACCAAATTGTTAAAAAGTCATTAATAAATTTTGACAGTATTGGAATTCACTGCTTGTCAATTTTTACACCATAAAATACACTGGAAGTTTAGTGACCCTTGTGTTTGGCTCATTACAGGCTGAGGACATTGCTGGCATATGTGAAACAAGAATGTCACATGGACAATGACCCCGTATTAGCTGCTGCCCTTACATTCCTCCTCTGCTGGGAAGTATCCCAGAGGTGAGTGTGCAAGGGAATCTGGAAGATCTGCCAGCTGATGAGTCAGTAGAGCCTGCTTAACACGTTGGCGACAATGCGTCCTGATGCCAGGATGCAGATTTTTTTT